GTAGGATGAATTTTGCATAAACTTACCTCAATATCGTCCTTCGCTGTTGTGCCCGTTTGTCGCCGCTTAGAAACTTTCCTTTTCTCCATTCTGTCCTCCGGAATCAACCTCTTTTCACCATTTGCCATTGACTGGTCCAGTGTGGAAACGATATAATATATTCTAAGCTTTAGAATGAAATGAAGCTCGACAACAATAGTGCAAGAATATTTAATTATACGTAGTTTATAATTTTATATATTTGTGAACGACGACCGAAAGGAAACAAAGGGTTTGAAAATCCGTAATTCAGGCAATGCAAGCTATTATGAAATGTTGCCGTGTTCCACCCGAAAGTCTCCGACCCCTTAGACCAAAGGAATACCGCCTAAAGGACCCGCAATGACGACGTAGAAAGTTTAAGCACAAAGAGTGAAGGTAAGAATAAAAGAAGTGTATTACAATGATACAGCTAATACAGCTAAGGGGTAAATAAATGAAGAGACTAAGACGGTACAAAGATTAGACGAAAGAGAGAACACACAATAGCAAACAATAGAAAAACACCAACGAACAACTAAATAACTGGGAATACAAACAACCGTTAAGATTTCGTTCGGCTGGTGTTTTTATAGTAACGGCAAACAGTTTTATGCAACCATGAAAATTGCTCTAAGAGGATTTATAGACTAACTAATAAATACAATTTTGAGCTGCATTCTTGGGAGTACGAAAATTTCCGTTGGTTCATCACTTGTCCATCACTTCTAATCTCGTGGTTACCACAAAAAAAAAAAAGTTGATTCAAATTTATTAATTAATCAGCGCCCAATCATGCTAGATACACCTATTCAATGTAAAATCCTGCTATTACAAAGTACGAAATTATAAATTTTATAAGAGAAGGCAAGAAAATCTGACGCCTAATATAATTACCGTCTCATTTTGTAAAGAAATGTAGTGCAAGCAGTAATCATGTGATTATTAAACCTTATGAACCTTATTGACACGAATAGAATCTAAACTGTTTTGGAATCGTTATCTAACAGAGTGCATAAACCTTTTTATCGTTTTGGAGTTATACGTAGCTTTTTTGCTTCGTGGATAATTTTCCGGAAATGATTCGCAACGTTTGGTGTAACAAATTAGTAATTCGGATTTTCTTTTTTTTAGTTATAAAATTAGAATAAATTGTTTTTATCTTTATATACTATATACGTATATATATCTAAAAATTACAGTTCTATTTAAAATATTATATGTACTTATCGTTGTATTATCCAGAACACTATGTATCAAAATATTGTAACGAAGTTGTAATTTGCAGTTATACTTGCTATATAGAAATCTATTGAGATTTGAAATTGGATTTTTTATTAAAATTTAAAACCCAATTTTACTATGGGTAAAATTTTGAGAATTTATAGTTTGGGCAGTATATATATATCATTCTATTTTAAGTAAGTTTTTTTTTAACAGTAATCAAATTCAAAAATATTGTAATATTGTTTCTAGTTAAGCTCTAAGATAATTAAGAATACTGTAAAAATTATATTTAAAAGAATAATATTGTAAAGAAAAACTAATAAATTATTACTTTAGCATATTAGAAAGTTAAAAAAATATATATACAATATATCAATTAAGATGTAACCCAACTATTTGGAACGTTTCAAACTATGTACGTACGTAATAATCAGTATTGTACGTATAAGTTTTGACTGGTTTTTTTTTTCTATTGCCGAAACTATATTATGCTAATTATAGGGATTGGAACCGCCTAAAATTTTTCTTAATCGTTTAATCGTTTAACCGTTTAACTGTTTAATTTGGCCGGCATTAAGGTAATTCCGGCCCACGATCAACATAATTCTGCCCGGAATTATGGAACAATTTTTAAACAGTTAAACGGCTCCAATTACGAGGGTAGAACCGCCACCAAAAAAAGTTTCAAGTAAAATTTTGTTTTTAGGGTTAGGATTGGAATTTTGCTATTATATCGGTATCTAAAAATGTTTTTTATAACAAATTTTTACAAGGAAAACTTTTAATTAATGCGCAGAAGGCAGTTTCATAGACTAAATTTTGGTTATAGGCGATTTTTGACAAAACGAACGTTTATTTTGAATTTTCCTGATCGTGTTACGTTACACCTGATCTTGAGATTTGATTGGTCATGAAACTTTTTAGGGTGGTGATTTTACCCCCGTTGGCTCCAATCCCTAGCTAATTATTGCATAGTTTTGGAACGTTTCAAATAGTTTGGGTTATATTATTAATATCAACTTATTGCTAATATAACAATAAATATATACAAAATATAAACTTATAATCATTAAAACATATAGTGCATTGTTTGGATCATAAGCCTTGTTAGTAGATTAGTATTTTGATCATTTTTAAAGAAAAAGTTAATTGCCACGTACGTCTATGAGATTGATAAAAATTTTAAAAGTCGTTAAGGTTAGGGTTAGCATTTATATTAGGGTTAGAATAATAAAAAAAAATTATTAGTAAAATTGCTCAAGAAAAACCTTTGTTAGAACACTAAAGGTGGTTTCCTATGCGGATTTTGAGTTATGAGTGATTTTTGGCAAAACGAACGTTTGTTTTGAATTTTCTGATTGTACTACATTACATCTAATCTTGAAATCTGATTGGCTTGGTGATATATAAACCACAATCACATATATAACAAATAACTATTTTTTTTTTAAAAAATACAATTTTAAATCAAACAATTCTAATCACCAGCCAGGCAGATTTAATTAAAAATCAGCCTATTTATATAATTTAAATAAAATTATATAATATATTGAGAATTTTAATTTGGTGCACCATGCACCGTGATGCACCCCTGATCACAGGGTATAAATAGTGATCATCAACTGATTAAATCAGTGATCAATATTACCGACCCATTTTTCAAATTTCCTTATTTGGAAGGATGCTAAAACGAAGCAATTAAAATTAGGGTTA